CTCGAAGAAACATTTTCAAACTTCACAGTGTCGTCTGAATTTTGTAACGTGGCAACCTTTGAATTTGTAAGTAATACGAGGTCAATCAATGATCGGACAAATAAAATAGGCGTAATCTATACAAAATAAAAATGTCATGTGCAACAAAACGGTTGTTAAATAGAAGTTCGATTGCAACGAAGCGATTAATTACTTCAATAAATAATTACAATTAAAGATAATACGACCCGGTTCGTAAAATGTCCGGAGTTCCCGTTATCTTAAAAAATTATTTAAACATAATAAAATGCTCCTAATATTACAAAAAAATACATCATCGTATTCGGTAGAGTCTGTAGAATAATTCTACATATATATCACCGCTGTGGCCATTGCAGTCGAAGCCGAAAAAATTCTCGAAATCGAAGTTCGACCTGTTCGAAAATGAATTGTGAGAAACTTCGATCACGTTCTGTCGTTTTCGGCAAGCCGGAACCCGCAAGATCTAAATTTCGGATCGCGGAAGAAGGCACCGAAAATAGCTCTGATTTCTGAATTAGCAGTTAGGGAACTCCGTGACGTGGTCGAGAGAACTTCGAGTGATTTACTCGTGCGACCAGTCGTCGCCGAACTTTTCTACGCGATCCAATCCCGCGCAACTTCGCCTCGGAACGGCCATAACTCCCGTGGCCGTCAGAAGGAACGCGCGATAGACTGGATCCGATGAATCGGTCATGGAGCCAGCCCCCGGGTCCATTCGATGGAGTCCACTTCCGGATTTTGATGCGAGCGTCCAGGCTTTCCTTAGCTCGCTGCTCGTTCCTCTTCGATTAGGAATTCACTGAATATTCACCTAGTTTTTACTGGACTTTCATGGTTTTGTTTCGCTTCTCAAATTCTGTGGATCGCTCATTTGCGTACAAATTGTTCATTTAAATGTCAATGCACGCTTGCGAATATTATCTGCTCGCTAGAAGCAGCACAAATATTTCGGCAACCGATTTATGGACCAACCTCGTGTATTATTTCGGATTTTGCTCCATTATTTATCTATAACTGGAATATTCAACCGAGATAAGCCTGTTATTAATATCAATTTAAATATCCTTGAGACAAAAATTGCCGATGGAACGTGGAAAAACAACCGTAATTCTGTTTTCAGTAAAATGTACCATGCGCGCAGTAACACGCGACTTTCAATTTAACGGTGCTTACTAGATTTTTATTTTTAGTATTCATTTTCCATGATACGAGATTGTCGCAGAAGGTTGAATAATAGATTTTTCAGTACTACGGCCACCGAAATTGAGATTTTATGTGGACCACATATACGCTGTTCTGTGAATGAAAAGTGCACGAGGCGATTGATGAGAGCTTGTTCCCAGTATTATAAACGTTATCGGCTTCAGCGAGCATTCAATTGAGATCATGGTTGGAACGGACATGGTACTCGACCGCAAAGCATCGTATTAACAAACAGAATATTGAGCGTAATTCTCCTGGCAGTTCGGAATACGTAATATTATATCATGATTGCCGAAATATATTTACCGGACGGGAAACATCCTTTGATAAATTAACTGCCAACATCCGGAAGAAATGTTCTGCGAGGCTTATCATAGAATATCGTATTATTTTAAAGTGCAACGAAGCGTAATATGATGCAATGTTGACAATACTAATATTTCAGGAAATAAACTGTATCATTGTAATACCAGGCAATGGAATTGTAACATATTATCTCATCGGTGTGGGTTCATCTGCCTTCGTAGTTAAAAAATACAAAGCGTGGCCTATCTCTTTACGGACAAATTATATCATACTTTCTACAATTTTGTAGAGATCTGCAAATTCTTTGCTTAATCCTTTGCACTCGTATGTCGCCGACACTATATTTTTTTATTTCATTTTTATTTTCAAAAATTGCATTTGTTTTCATACTGTAAGCTAATCATGTAAAATACATGAATAAAAACGCAAGATATTTTATTCATTTCCAATCAAATTTTACAGCGGTATAATCATTTTTGTTTCAATACGACTTTGCGTAGCAACATCACAATTTTTGCATTTGCTCCGAGTTGCTGGTAGATACGGTACAGTTTCCCTAATCGACGCCCAGATTGCGCACAAAAATGGACAATTTGGGAAGAGGAGATACGATTATTCGGGTCTTGCGGTTCGGTATTATAATTGTTGACGTATCTCCTCTTCCCGAATTGTCCATTTTTGTTTCCAACTGAGCCGAGCGTCAATTAGAGAGAACTTCCAAAGGGACAATAACAATGAAATTTTCTGTAGCACATTTTTGGTTTCACCGTCGATAATAGCTCAGATATTCTGACCACTTATTCCTGAGATACCTTCCATATTAAGTCAAGATTTTCACTAATTAGAATTAAAAATGAACGACGAATTTCAGCATTTTAAAAAGTTCTTTTTGCTGTTCTTTTACTCCGAGTACTTAGATGCTGCCGGTCGATCCAGCAATTTGGAAGATTATCGACCGAAGCGTTAATCGAATTATGAGAATCCCGAGGGAAAATGAGTGCCACAGGGCTCTTTCATTCGCCTCAGCCAGCAGAGTCCGGATCAACGATGTTCCCCCCTAATCCTCCCGGTAATCCAGAACCCTGTCCCCTTAACAGTATTTCTATCGAACCTAGATCTAATTCCTGCGAACTTCTGAATCCCCTTAAGACAGTTCAGCCCAGAACTAATTCGAAACTTACGTGTCCCTTCAGCGGTATTTCTCCATCGTCCAGATTTCATTCGACTCCGTATCACGGAAACCGGGTCACATAAATAATCCAGACCCTCGATCCGACAAAATGCAATCTGCGAACCTCTCCGGCTTTCTATCGAAGACGTCCAAATAATGAAAAGTACTCAAATCGAATTTGCAAAGGCATTGCAATTTCAAAGTTTTAACCACTCATGACAAATATCAGACTCGAGACTTTAAGCTGTTGTAACTTCGTGAGGGAAGATCGAATGGTGGTCTATCTGGTCACATTTTAAAGAGCAAATCCTCCACCTAAGACTGCGTTTAATGGTTTATTTTCTAAAGATGTTCTTTCTTCCTGAAAATTGGCGAAAAAAATGGGAACTTGTGCAAATGGACACAGTGCGTTTCTCCATGAACATTTGACGAATTTAGATCAGACGAGATTTTTACTTCGACTTACACCATCGGATATTTGAAGAATGCAGTCTTTTCCTTATAATAAAATCAGAAAATTTGGTCGACGAATTTTTCTTTCGATCTGTCGCAACTTTTTCGCTCCTCCGAGTCATTTAACTTTTCTGAAAAGTTAGACAGTTTCGAACGACTCTACAGGGCTTGAAAAATATTTCCAGGACCGAAACCACCACGGACTCCGAGCTTGAAGTCTCCCTTTTCCAATGTCACCGATGGAAGTAACGTACGATTTTTTGTTGCCGTTTCATCACACATTTTTCACTCCCCTATCTCGTTTTTTTTCCACGGTGCTTTTTTCACCAGGAAAATCATGCAGATGCAGACGTCTCTGTGGAGCTCAACAAATTTTCTGCGGGACTCTAACCACCGCGGACTCAAAGCTAGAAGTTTTTCCTTTCCAACGACGCTTCAAAATTCAACGTACGATTTTTTCTCGCTTTTCTATTGCACGTCGACCGAAACCCGAGTCGCCCGGCGAGCCGGTTGCAACGCTCCTCGAACGGCATACAGTGATATATTTCCCCAGAAAATTGGCCGCGATTCGTAAATTCGTAGGATTTGTTTTTTAAAATCAGGTCTCTTGTATTGCTTAGGTTACTGAAGTTGAATATGTCATCAGAAATATAAAATTAAAAATGGAAAACCGGACACCATTGAGACAAGCACTGTTTTTATTTTACTTTTTATAATTATACAATTATAAAATTTCTTTCTATAATTGTACAATTAGAATGTAAAATTTAATATCACCATCTTAATTTCAACATCTTTAACAGTGTCATGGACAGGAAAATTTAATGTCTTTTAATTTCGTTTGTATATTTGAACGAATCTCTCTATGAAATCCTATAAGTCCTCGTCATATCATCAAAATCTTATCTCAGTTTTGCAAATATTAAATGTTTTTTAAAAAGCGGATTTTTTAAAAAATTCACTGATTTTCCCTCGTTAGACTCGAGTAAAGTTCGATCTGTGACCCGTATTGAGTCAAGAATCTTGTTAATACAGGACTTTTGATGACTATTACAGCTTTTTCTCAATAATTACGTTATTAATATGACAACGATTTAGGGTATATCGAGGTGAAAAGCACAAGATTTAATTCAAAATATTTTGCATCGCTTGTATGCAAAATTCATCATATATATATATATATATGTATGATTAGCGATTTTTTTTCAGCTTGCATATAAATTACCGAGATCTACGAAAGACATTTTTTAAATTTTCGTCATAGGCTCAGGTAAAAAAGTTAAAAAATGAGAGTTATTATTTTTTGTTCTCGCTCCAAGTAATAGCAAAATTTAAAAAAGACATTTCGGTCATTGTCAAGACGTTTCAAGTCACTTAGTCCACTTTCAAAAAAGTTATCGCATTTTCAAGCGAACGCTTTAGTGGACCACTGTAGTTTCAGTTCGGCCCCAACCTTTCTGGACATCCTGTGTACTTCGAAAATTGCACTTCGGCCAGCTTTTCGGGAAAGGTACCAGTGCGGCGTGGCTTAATTGAATTTTTCGCGGGGACGTTTGAAATCGATCGAACCGGAAGCGGAGCGGTCGGTAGCGTGAAGGACCTCGGTTTCCAATTCCGATGCAAGGAGGTCTCGGTTGCACACGTGCGCCGGCCATCCAATCACCTTAAAACTCGACCGCGCAGCATCGCAACCCACCGCGAACTTTCACCGGCGAATTAGTTCGCGTGCGCCCAATATTAATTCACCGGGAATAGATTCAATTAAATGTCGAGGGGGGAGGTCGGTGGAGGGCCGAGGATGTGTGCAGCTCGCGGATGCAATTTAATGAAACGCGATCAAGCTCACCTCAGCGTCGTTTTCTTTGTACGAGGACCAGAAGTCTATTTGCCTGAGTGCCTCCAGCTCGTTCTCCAGCGGGTCGGTGCTGTTTCCTTTCGTCGAACCCGTCCTGGTCTCGGCGTCCTTCTTCCAGGCGTAGATGGGTCGCTCCAGACCCACCTGCAGTTGATTACGGTCCTGATCCTCCGATCTCGAGTTCTCGCTCCTGTTGTCGTCCTCCGTCTTCCTCCACTCGTTGCCCGGAGACTTCTGAGAAGAGACAGCTGACACAGCGACGAACGCGTTCTTCGACTTCGCCGAAGACGCGTCCGCTGTCGTGCCTGGCTTCGAAATTGGCATCGCAGTCACCCTATGAAGCCCAAAAGCATTTATTTATATTGGTGGATTTCGTTCGTTCTTGTACGAACTTGTTTCAATCGCCAAACGCAACGGTTCTCATTCTTTCGAATATTTACGACCGATTAAAATTTCTCTACGGACTTTGGAAGATTTTTTTTACGATACGAACAGTCGCACCGTATCAAGATTTAAGTTTCCTCTTTACAACAACGTTCAAAAAATCGATCCACGACTTTTTCGCCCTTTTATAGAAGTTTCAAGGGGATCGTTGCAACGGTGGCAGACTTTTCGTTCGAAGTTGAGCAAAAACGGCGATAAAGAGACGTAAGCGAGGTTTCCAGATGTCTTTGTAAAGGGGAGACTTCGATCTTTATATTCATCGCGATTTCAGTCGCGAACAGAATTCTTTGAGCTTCGCGAGGTCATCTGTACTTATAAAATGTTCGATGAGCGATTTGGTCCAGTTAGCTGTGACAATCTCTTTGAAAAGTGCTTAAGTTACCGTAATTATGCTATATATGTTTGATTTTCGTCAGATTTTGTTCAAATACAGCATTTTTATGGAATATATAATTTAAAACATACCGTCAAAGTATATCTTTCTTAATCAGTTAGCTATTTTTGGGCAGCATTTCATGTTACGACGAGAATATTCGTCGAGAACAGTTAACCAGTTAATGACCCATTCTGAGTGGGAAAAATTTAGTGTACAAAAAGATGCTCGAGGTGCGTGAAAGTGGAGACTTCAACCTGTAAAACGAATAGGAATTGATTCCTCTACGATTTTTTTGTCGCGAAGTTAGGGCAGTTCAAATATTAAGAACTTTTCGTCGACTTTTACGACCTTTCGTCGTATAGCGATCCTTGAATTCAAAACGTGCACGTCAATGTGCTCGATGCTTGAAAGACGCCATCAATTTTCTCATAAAAATCCTCTAGACTCGCAGCCTACCTGTGATACGCAAACTGCTTCCACTTGGCCGGCCAGGTGCCAGTGCTGCTCTTCCCGTAGCTCCACTCGTCGTTGATCTTCTGCTGCCAAGGCGTCAGCTCGTTGTTCTTCGAGCTCCAGCCATTCCTCTCGGTCGACTTCCTAGGCCAAGTATCCCCGTTCTTCCAGGACTCCTCCTTTAGCTTGACGGGCCAGGAGTCTCCATTGAACTTGGCAACGTCGTCGTTCGTCGTCTTCGATCCCCATGCCTTGGTGTTTCTGTTGGACCAGGATCCAGGGTTCGCCTTCGCAGGCCAGGACTCGTTCTCCGCTAGCTTGGCGTTCCAGGACGACTCCGGCTTGCTCAACCACTCTCCCTCCTTGTTCTTCGAGGTCTTGGAGAACCAGGAGCCCGACTTGCTGGACTTCCAGATCTCGGCGACGTTTTTCTCTGGCCACAAGCTCTGCTCGTCGCGATCCATCCAGGAGTCGTTCACCTTGTCCGCCCAAGACCCTTTGCCTGGCCACTTGTCCTTCGTCTTGGACCATCTGCGGGCGGAATTGCCCGAGGTGGACTCCACAGGCTTCATCTGGTAAGGCTTCCACGTGGATTGGTCGGCCGACATCACCCAGGCACCCACGGACTGGATCTTAGGCAAGGACGCAGGCGGCTCGTTGCTCCAAGTCGCCTTCTCCTCGTGCTTCCTCCTCCAAGCACCCGCGTCATCGTTTTGAAGTGTCTCAGATTTGGCCCAGTCTTTTCGGCTCTTGCCTTCCTCCAGAATAGTCCAGGACTTGGAAGAATCGTTGGGCTTCGTTTTATAGTCGCTGAAGTTGCTCCTCTCGCTGCCGGGCTTCTTGTAGTCGAAGGATTCGGGACGAGAGAGCTCCTCCTCCTTCGACGCCTCCTTCGAACCGAACAGTCTGCTCTTGTCATCGTTCGATTTCTTATCAGAGTTCGATTTCTCGGATTCCTCCTTCGACCAGGAGCCGTTGTCCTGCTTGTCCAAGCCTAGCTTCTTCACCAGGTCCGCGTTAGGGTTGTACGACTTTCCGTTCTCGTCCTTCGGCCATGGTTTTGCGCCCGGCAACTTGTGAGGCCACGTTGCCGGATCCGAAGTTAAGCTGTTCCATGTCTTCATTGTAATCTGAGGCAGCACTATCTTCTGTTTCGCCTCGTGCTTCGAGGATCGGTTGGGGTCTGTGCGGTTGTTCGACTTCTCCCAGGACCCGAGGTTCGGTTCATCGTGGTCGTAGTGTTTCATCGATCTTTCGGACTGATCCCAGGGCGCGTAGACCTTCAAGCTGTTGTCCATTGGCCAGGAAGATCTGTTCGGCAAGTTTCAGAGACCGGCTTGTTATTTCGTGGTTAGGAACTAGTTCGCTTACGCTGATAATTCAGAACTAGTTAATTTTCATATCGGGCGCGCCTATGTTCGCTGAGCTGACAAATTTCTTAGGAAGCTGAACCGCCGGTTACAGAGTGCTCGAATCGAAGCTGCAAGTGTCTGCTTTAAGATAGGATGATTCAGCTTCGAAAGAAAGGTCGAGATCGTTGTTTAGAAATTAATAAACCGAAATTGATAACTGAATGAAAAGTGATTTCACTTAAAAGAGATCGCTTTTAATCGATTTTAAGTCGCATTTCTGCGAGAATTGTTTACCATTATTGGGATCGAATGAAAGCTCGAAGTGTCTACTTTAAGATAGAGTCATCCGTATTCGAATAAAAATGCAAAGGCATGTCCGAATATCGATAAATCGGTATCATATTCTGATTTTCACACGAGATCAACTTATGCGCGTGCGAAGTTCCCGTGCGTGAACAGTCATCAAAATCGTTAAACGATACCGTTTTCATATTTTTTGTCTGTTTTCTTTACACGTTAGCTGTCGTCAAAGAGCATACAATAGAGGATCAAAGTTTCATTCGTATTAAAAATCGGACCGACCTGTTTCTGTCCCAGGAATGATGAACCCTTGGCGGCGGCTGCATCTTCTCGGGCTCGGAAAGTTCCTCGGGGTCCTCGTTGATCAACGGCGACCAGTAGTTTTTCTCTAGGGGCATGAACTTGCTTCGCTGAGCCCAGTACTTTGCCTCGGCCTGCGGCTGCCTCCAGGGCCATTTCTCAGAGCCGAACGGCATCAACGGCCGCTCCTCCATGTTCCAAGGTGGACCGTACTTGTACGAGATATCCGGCCAGCTTCTGCTCGCGGGGAAATCGCGAGCTGCCGGCTCGTACTCTTGGCTCCTGGCGAAACCGTCCGACTGCAGGCCGAAGTCGCTCGGATAATCCTCCTCCTGTCTGCGCAGAAAGTTCCTCGACACCGGAGACAGTTGATTGTATCGCAGCCGCCGAGGGTATGAGTCGATCGCCTCGTAATCCGGTATGCGTCCCCCGTCTGTAAAGTCGATTAATTGCCTATTCAAGTTCCGAAGTGCTAGAAGTGTCCTCATTATTCGAGAGACTGCGTCATAGAGTTTGCTGGGTTCGTTCGCCGAAGGTGCATGCACCAAGATCGACGGAACAATATATCGATTGATTAGTCTGTCAGGGGTTCGATACATCGATGTGCCGAGGAACTATTCGGCGTGCCAGTATATCAATGAATCGATGCGTACATGGGACGGTGTATATGTATGTACATTCAACGAGATTAATCGAATACTATATCGGTTGATCGATTGATCAAAGAATCAACATATCGATGTGTCGATGTATCGGTATGAGCTAGAATATATCAATATTCAGACCATCTTGCAATTCCCGCGCTCGCCTCTGATCGGTCACTGTTTTTCGTTAATAATGTTACTTCAAACGACCTCAGCGATCACCCCTTCCGAGTGTTAACATAATTACCGGATACCTTGTAGATTGATATATAAAGTAATATATAAAAACAAGGCATCGCGTGAATATTTCATTTAAAATAAAAGTCATAATTTCGCGATAGCTTTTAACGGAGTTACGGCTGTTCGAAGATCGACAATTTTCCGGGCAAAACTGACCGATGCTTTAATTTCGCTGTCTAGTGCAAATTCCGTTGAAAATTGAACACCTGGCGTGACGGACACGCGTGACAACAGAATATCGCATCGATAACTAAGCAATAAATATTTCCACCGATCGGACACGTGCACACGAACCGCAATCTATACGGTAGCAATCGCAATCGAAGGCGACTCGTGAAACCGGCTACGAACGCCAGTTGAAAGACGCAATTTTCTCCCGGATTAAAGTCAAAGGAAGAAAAGGGACGACTTGGACAAAATTGGCGCCTTTGTGCGGAAGATTACCGGCAGGAGAGCGTCGAATGGTTTACCTGAGGATCTATCTAACAGGTTCCCGAAATCCCTGAGCCCTTGTACGCGACCAGCTTCCAGACCATCGAGCTGCCCGAACGCGGACTTCCTCTCGACCGAGGGGAAGGCGTTCTTCGCGTGGCTCCTCGACTTGTTCCGTTCGATCAGATCCCGAAAGCTCGGTGAGATCCTCGGACCGTTCTCAGGGTCCACCGCCAGCGGATCCTGCTGCTGCCAGTGCGGGCCGAACAGCCTTTCAGCGACGAGGTGCCATTGAACGGGCGTCGTTTGTCACGACGTCTCGGTGGTGGTCAACAAAGGCGGCGTCGCCGGAGCCGGCGTCAACGCGGTCAGCTTCTTTTTCTTCTTCTTGGACCTCTTGCGCAATTTACGCGAGTCCAAGGACGACGCGACCGTCGGGGGGTACGACGTCGACCGGGTCTTGTAATATTGCTCCAGCAGCTTCGTCGCGTTCTCCAACTTTGTCACTAATTCCAAACGAACGATTCGTCAAACATACCCTTTCGCTGCGATTGATTTTGCTGCCGAGTGCACGGTATAGGGCGGCAGATGCAAACGCGGTCTACGTTGAAAACGAGAACATTTTCCGCGAGCCTGCGTCGTTTTAATTGGATAGAATTTGCCTACGATTTAATTTGCCAGCGGCCGGTGTAGCATCAACGGCAAATTTTCGAAGCACCAACGGCAGCGAAAGGGCTAATTACTATGCTGTTGATCTTTATGGAAAATAAAAATGTTCCACGGCGAGATGGGACATTTCTAAGGAACAGAAATTAAATCAAAATACATCGTGTCTTTTAACTTCTTTTAAGCTGAACACAATGTAAGAATATTATTAAATTTTTTTCGACGTCTTCGTATTTTTAATTTACGTCTTTAAATTCCCGATCGGGAACGGTACATAATTTCTCCAACGTTCGGACTGTTTCTTTGTTCCGGGCGCGATCGAGCGGATTTTCGGACAGCGTCGATTAATTTCACGGAAAAAATTGTGTGTCGCGACGCGAGGATCGCCCGGGGCATGGAACTCGGTGTATTCGTATTCGTCAACGGTAGCAAATGGCTATTATCAAAGCGGCATTGTCCCGGTAATGGAGATTAAGACGACGCGACTCCGTGCCGCGGCAAAGCTCTTTATGCAGTGTTCCAGGCAGGTGGTGCGGCGCGGTGCGGCGGCCTCGACGCTCTACGCCCGCTCCGACTAACTTGTTCCCGGATTATTCACTGTCCCCGTGTAAATATTAACCACCGCTGGCGACAAGCGCGTTAACTACCGAATTAACGGAGACAGCCTACGCTCGAACCCGGCAGAGTCCCGAGGAATCGAGAAATGGGCCAGCCGTTTGTCTTTCGCTATCTGCCGAGCTGCTAGAATGTCGCTAATTTCTCACAAACTACTCTCGAGAATATATTAACGTTAGAACTACCCAAGAGTGACGTATACCTGCTTCTACCGGAGGGGTCAAAATCATCTGTTTCTTTTTTCAATTAACAATTTTATACGCGAGAATTTACTATAAACTAAATAATCGTAACAATAATGATAATTAGAGGAAACTTGGACTCGAAGCGTTCTATCATCTGACCATTGTATTATATGTAGACGCGTTATCACCTACTACAGAACTTGAATGAGATTTTAAGATAACAAGATGTTTCTGTATCAATAAATCTTGACATAAGAGAGCTCTGCATTAGAGAAAAATGTATTAGAAATAATGTTTATCGATGAGAAGCTGTAAATTCTCTAAACATCATGCTACGTGTTACAATTTTAAATGATTGTATCCACAAAATTCATTCGATGTTCTCTACCCGAAATACAAACTCATGGTTGTCGCACACGCGTGACGATCCTAGGCGACCGTGTTAAGAGACATTTTGAATCCATGTAAGAAAAATTGCTCTAAATGTTATTTTTTTCTGTTCGAGGTACATTTATTTTACGCGCAAAAATAAAATATAAAAATTTCTAAAGGAGCATCGTTAGAACAAAAATACGCGTTTAAAATTCTTTTTCATCTTCTGACCCAGCAGTTTAGCAGTTCCTTCATCCACCAATTTATGAACGCGCAATTGCCCGAAAAAACAAGACGATTCACAGCTACTCGGCCCTCGATCACATTTCCCGTGCCCATCGGGTCAGACCAACAAGAATGAAGGGCGCAAGAACCGGAAGCAATCGAACAAGGGTAGAATCTGGCGAAAAACGGTCGATCGGTGTTCTCTGGGCGGATTGAATCGCGGAAAGTCCAATCGCAGGAGCGAGTCGCGTTGATTCCCGAGTAATACGACGGACTAATTGTCAGGAGGCAATTATACCAAGCAATAATGCGAGCGCGATTCAGCTAATCGAGCGATTGCGAGGCTTTATTGGATTCCCGAGTGAACGCTGAACGCGATTAGCTCCCTCCGCCTCCCTGTCCCGCGTCCGTTTCCTTCGTTTTGTCCGTTTTATTCGTAGGATCGTCGAGCGAAAGCCAGCAACGGCCGGCTGCAGAATTTATTCACCGTCGAATCGTTACTCGTCGACGGGACGGGCTTTCTCTCTTTCTGTTCGCCAGCCGCGACGTATTTTCTAATCGCACGCGGACAAGCCTCTTCGCTTTAACTTCACCCGGGAAAATTTAAATACTTGTTGCTCTTCCGCTCGCGCACGCAGATCTCGCAGAGCACGCTGGATGAAAATTAACGGGTCGGTTCCATTATTACCGTTCTCGCTCGCAACAGGTCCCTTATTCTTAAGTTCGCGAATTACAACGCCAGGGCTCGCGAGCGCGACATCCGTTACAGAAGTGTCTGCTTTTTGGCGATCTTGTTGCTCGAACCTCGCGACCACCGAGAATCCTCCACGGTCAGGATGATCAAATTCAAGAGTTGGGACGTGTACGAAGCACTCTTTCAATTTGTGTACTTATACCAATACTAAGACGATATCTGAAGTTTCTTAACCTTTGTCGGTAAGTGTTGGCATATCCACCAGCTGCTACAACAAATAAAATGTACTCCAAATTTTACTCAATTAATCTACTCGATTTAAAAAAGAAATACACATATACTACCGAAACAAAATCCTAAAGTCCATCGTAAACGTCCATTGTGAGACGAGAGGATGCAAAGTTTTCGCGGAAAAATGTCTAATCAGTGACCTAGTTTTCAATTCGCCGATTTAAATTTGGTTTTCTCGTTGCTCCGAGTCGTCTCTAGTTTCTAGGATCGTAGAGCAGCGATTGCTCGTCGGTGGAGTTGATAATCGATGAATCCCGGCGAAGCGAGAGCAACACGGCGCGGTTCCCTTGCATCCCAGAGCGATTCGAGGTTTCGCTTCCCGAGCAAACAAACCCGGTTGTTCCCTTACGAGCTCGAGACGAGGACTCACGGTCGAGAGACCCGGATCGATCGATCGTGATCGACGGTTAATGGAAGCCGAATTAATGAGTGCAGCAATCTCGCGCAGCCGCTGCTCGCATTAGATCTATCCCCACGTCCGTTCGTACTCACAGAGAAGTTTCTTTTGGATGTCCAGCTTCTGAGCCATCTCCCTCATCGAGTTCAGCAGCTCCTCCACCTCCTCGCGCACCTCGTCTTCGTCCTGATCGATTAGAAAATTATGTAATTAGTGTTGCGATTCGTGCCAAGTTCAATTTAACAACAGTTTCTCTCGACTTGTTCTCGAAATATTTGGGACGAAACAACAATTATGGACAGTTTAATGCACTTCGAATGCGCATCTTAACGTAACAGATTAATTCGTTCGTATTGATTTGGTTGTAAAAAGAAATAACAGACGTTGAATTAGTTGTGAACGAGTTTTCTATAATAGCTGACGGTGTTTTTAAGCATTGTTAAACTGAACGTATGGAATTATATGATATAATATATTTTGAATAATGTTTATACATTTCTTAACGATTTCACATTCATTAATGACTTGTTAAAAGCAACAGGAACATTTCCAGCTACAAGCGGCGGGGACAATAGGTAATCCGATCGCGCACTGCTGATCACGATTCCACGATAACTGTTAATTCGATTACGAGTTCTGTGATTAACAATTACAGAGGGAAACTACCAATTAAATGAACGGTTACATTTGGATTGTCATTATTGACATATAATCTGCTTACGTTCTGGCCAGTTACGGCTTTAATCCCGCTCGAAGCGACCTGCAAAGAATCTATTCATTTATCGATTTTCCGTGAAACGAGTCTTATCTTCAAGTTCTATATACGTTAAACGATTCTACAAAATTCCAGACTGCTCTAAAAATAGAAACAATATGATCAACAATCTGGTTCTACGAAGTCTGCATTGAAAAAATTAATGCAATTTCCGAGCTGCTCGACTGAAAAATATGTGCACGTATATTAACACTTTTTAAATAGATGCTCAAACTCGTTCGTCAAGTTTTACGAAAATTTATTCATTCTTTAAATAGATCTCAAGCTTTGAGTACGCATTAAAAAATTCTGAAGCAATTTAGACAGTCGAAAAATTAAAATTAATTGCACACAACCCAACCGGTAAATAAGACCACGCTAACAGAGCACCTTGAATAAACTTCAATTTTCGCGGAAACGTTTTCAATTTCAAGATAGAGAACCACGTACTAGATTTTCCGACTAAAATATGCGAGCATTAAAAAAAACCTCTGAAATTCTAAAGCTCTCTAGAAACCAAATTAATTCCGCCCAACTCAACCACTAAATAAGTACACGCCAACACCCTCTGGAAACGCGTGCACTTGCCAATTTCTACAGAAATGATTTTACTTCCACGTCAAAAAAAAAAAAAAAAAAATTAAACGGCAGCATAAATTTTCCAGCTCTAATATACCGCGTCCAGGTTAAAAATCTCTGCTGGAAAGATCGGAAGGACCGACGCGTTCGCGTATTCAATTTCCGCCTGTCTGGAATTGGCTCGGATTGCGGCATGATTACACAAGCACCGTGTAGAAGTGCCGATGAGACCGTCGCGTCGCCGGTTCGAAAGCGAAATTAATAAATCGTCGATATAGAAAATGCGAACCGCTTAACGAACGTTTACCGACGCGTTCGCGAAACGGCAACCCGAGCGCGAATTTTCAGCGTGGTTCCGCGTCGCCGCACCGCGGTTCTCCCCCAGGTTTTTATGCGCTCGAACGTTCGTCGCGAATATACACTCTCAGCGACGGAATGTTTTCCCGAGCCAGGAAAATATGCGGCTCGGCGATCATTAACGACCGCGGCGATGGCTTCTGGTGGCGTGCTGGCGCTACCTACACCTGCAACCTGCTACACACGGAACTTTGTTGCGTGGGATCCGCAGACGATGTCGGCTCGGGTCAAGTTCAATCAGCTAAATCTGTTCTCTGTCTATCGCTCGTATTCGTTCCGCACGGAAAGTTGAAGCAGAAATTTGTTATCGAGTTATATACAGAAAGTGGAATATGACCCTCTGCGAAAGTAAACACGACAATATTGAAATTTCAGGAGATAAAAACGAGATAAATGTTGATCTAAGGCACATTGAAATCCCATTTGAGGATGCTCAGAAAGTTTTAGCAAAAAATATTCGGCATAAGTGAAACCAAGAGAGAATGGATACATTCAAAAGTGTTCGAACACCTTTCGAAACTTTTTAGAAATTCAACTAAATGACTTGAATTTTTTTTTAGATGATAGAGGGACTGGTCTACCAGACGATGACTAAAATGCCTTTTTTAAAATTCGGTGTTACTTGGAATGACAGAAAAAAAATAAGAAACAACTGTAACACCGAGCTTACAGTTAAGCGCATCCTAATAGAATGTCCAGTGTACAATAATATCAGAAATCGTGAAAACTTCAAGGACAGCATAACGACTCGATGCACGCAATTAAATAGAGAAAAGAATCCGCGATTTTTATTCAGCAAATTGATCGACGATCTATTCGCTATTTGCTTCGGTAATTTCGTGTCGACCACTCGTGAGCCCGGATAATCGTAAATCAGTGGCATTAAGATGAACAGCTCCCTTGTTCCATGTTCGCCCTGAAAATCCGCGGCCTTCGTCTTGTCTCTTTAATACTCCAGAGCTCTTTAATAAAAATTAATGAGTCTCTCGCGGCCGATTCCGCGAGAGCCCTCCGCTCGCTCGATAAAAAACCCTTCTCCTCTCAGTCCTCCCAGCCTAAAATATCATATTTCACGAACCGGTTTCGCTATTCAGCCTTTTTTTTATATGGTTTTTGCGCAAGCAGCTTTGTTCCTTTTAATAAAAATCGACTGCTCCTCTCTCGGTATTTTCTGCATTGAGGTTTATCTTTACGTCTCCGACGTAAAAAGCTTTCGTCTCTGCTTTCTATTATTACAACGCGATCTTCTTTCCCTCTTTTCCTGTGATTTTTCTCTCTTTCTCTCTCTCTCTCTCTCTCTCTCTCTCTCTCTCTCTCTCCCTCTGTCTCTTGCCTCTCCGAAGCTTTTTCTCGACGATGTAAAAACTGACACACCTACCAATCTTCCCTTTACCTTCCTCCGATGCAAATCCCGGCTCGAACAGGCTCATCTAACACAAATCAAAGTAAATCTCTCTCTCTGTTCTCGACTTTCCGTGACTCCAATAAAACCTTGCACACCACCCCCGCGCCATTCTTCATCCCCTTTCTGTCCGTCTTCTCTTTCCGGCGGACTCCACTTTGCCTTCTCCTCTAATAAAGATCAACCTGTTCCTTTTTATTCACTCTTGCCCGCGTCGATTCGACCTGGCCAACCCCTCCTCGAAGCTCCGATTTTGTTGATTCACCGGCTCGAGATTTTCGGGGCAGTTTCTGCTGAAACTACCGGCGACGATTTTGTATTTTCAACGCTGAACCAGCAATTCGAACAGTCTCGTACAAACTGAAACGATTTATTTCACTCGCGACAGCATCAGTTTCGCCGCTTATCTTCGTTGTTAAAGCGTTTTATCGAGTCCAACGTGTTTTATGCATCGTTAATGCAATTTAGAAAGGGAAAGACATCTTCAATATTATTGCATAAACTAGAAAATTGTGAACGACGCGGTAGCAAATTGTTGAAAATTAAGCAGCATTTGTGAATTTGTTTTGAACAACGTGTTCGATCAGTGGTTTCAAACCTTTGCGGTTATTTTACTGTGACGTTAAAGCGACTAATATCATTCTTCCATGATTGATAAAGTGTTTAACATCTAATCCGATGTTAAGTAAACGGACGGTTCTGAAGCCGATCGGTGTAAGTTCACGTTTCATTGAAATTGAATTATGCGGTACAAACGCATCTTTGTCATAGGATCTTTCGATCGATAAGCCAATATAGTGGCATTGTTCCATTTTTAAACAGTGAATTTGCAAAATCCTTATTTCTCTCAATTTTAAGGTGTCGATGAAATAACTGCCGGTAAAGTGACAGAAACCGATTTAAATAATAGGTGCAAATAAATAAAGGATAATATCAATGAATAACGGTATCATCGGATCATGAAAATCATTGAGGAAGGGATTCTGGCAGCCCCGGAGCAGAGGGACCATTTCATCTTCGGAAAATTCGTTCGATGAACAATAACTCGGCGAAGCGGCAGAGAGCACCGTGTCGGGTACAAACGGGAAAGTTCCCTGGGAACGATCGAGCGAATAAAATGTGGCAAGATGATAAATGCCGGGCTCGCCGCGGCGAGCTGTCCTTTATCGGCGCAGAGACAATGGTCCCGCGTTCTTTCCCATGGCCCGACCGTGGGGACGACGTTTGTCCGATTTGTTCCTGTCGCACGCACAAAACACACCGTTTCGTGCCACGACCCCGTGGCAATGTCAACGAATCACGGTAGATTCGCTTTCAACGGCAGAATCTCGAGAATTCGAGTAATCGTTCCTCTATGGAAACCGAATCCTCTTGCAATCGACTTGATCCGATCCTCCAGGGATACCATTCGGAAATTAAAATCCGAGCGCAGGTTCCTTTTATCCCATTTCGAATTTCTACAGTGATCGAAATCTGTGCAATTAGACGTCTATAGTAGACCATCTATTTGGCGATTGTTCTAAGAAATAATTTGCAACGATTAGACATAGAAATAAGAGTGACTTAAACGTTAATTGTATGTAGACTGCGGATACCATACACTTTGATTGATTTTATATAGGATACCCTGTATAATACATTCTGTAATCTAAAGGGTATTTTGCTCGCGTAATTAATAAATAATAATAATAATAACAATTTCCCGAGAAGAAAATAGTTCAAGAAGAGAGTAATGGTATTTCTGAAGCCTGTACCAGTCATCCACAATTCACTCTAATCAGCAATCTTTTCCCAAGTCTTTCCTAATTTTCGAAGGATCTGGTCACCAGACTCCGAGCCATCGGAGGTTCAAGGGACAGAAACGATCTCGAGTAATCGAGCAAGTGCGAGGATCGTGTCTTCGGATGGCAGAGAATGATCGTCGAACCTTGGTTTCATTGTCGTGGTCGCTTGACCAGAGAAAAGCGCACAAAGGACGCACTCTGCCGGCTAATTCGGTATTCTTAACACGGCGGCGCGGCGCGGCGTTTCAGCTCCAGGATCCGCAATTGCCGCGACAATTGGATCCTGGACACTCCAGCGTTTTTGTCACTGGTCCACCCTTGATTCTCCTTGATGGTGCTTAAACGGGCTTCTAAGAAATTTCTCCGTTGACTGCGAACGCTTCCGTTAATTGCCGTAACTGGCCGGGAAATGGGATTCGTTGCGCGAACTTTTTGTTTCGATCTTGCGACCACTGACGCTGCAAATACGCTGTATAGAGGACGATTTGCACGATCAAAAGATACCGAAGGGATGGTACTCGTTTCTAGATTTCTCTGGGTACACTTGACACGCTACGTGCGGGAGAGGTATTTATATCTTTTTAAAAAATTTAATTTTGTATTATTTCGTTAGATATTTGAAAGAATTCCTCTGCGAAATCCTAAAAATCCTCGTTATATACTTCTTATCAAAATCTTATTGTCAGTTTTGCAAATATTAAATGTTCCTCAGAAAGTGGATTTTTTTAAAAATTCACCGAATTTCTACCGTTAAGCACGAGTAAAACTTCACCTGTTACCCACAACAGCGTGTTAATCCTTTGCACTCGATTGACGACTCTAAGGCGGCACTAAAAATTGTTACATTATATTTTAAAAGAATTTTCACGTTGTTCAAGTTTGTATTTGATAAATTAAAAAAAAAACTGCACTTTTTTTAGTACAGAAGCATCTTCGAAAGGAATGATTTAGGAAAGAGTCGGATTCACGATAAAAGGGTAAAAAAATTTTTAGACAGAGTTTTATTGCGTTATTTTAAAGAGGAAATTTCAAGGTTCGAACCCATGGTAAATCGGCGTGCGAGAAAAAATTTTGGAGCTCCCTAGAGGCGTTCGAATTTGGAAAACTATCGAAAAATGCAAAGCAGCCAAGGCGAAGCGAAAAAGTTGCGATGAATCGGCCGAAAAAAAATAGTACGTCAAAATTTATGTCATTGTAAAAAGGAGACTTCGAGCTCCAAATTCACGTTAGTTCCACGCGTGGAAAAAATGCTCGGAGCTTTGTACACACGTTTGAATATCCTAAACTTTCCTAATAAAAATGAGTCTTCGAAAAGGCAACGTAGAGAAGTGTAACATTTGCTATAGAAAAGCCAAAAACAAATCCTACATCGAGTTCTATGGTATCATTTTAAAGAGGAGACTTAAAGCTTTATTTACCCCGCAGCGTCTAAACTTGTAGAATTTCCAAAAAAGAGAACGCGTCTTCGCATCCACTTTTATTCACTCTGCTTTAACAGTTCATCAACGTAGCATCAACAATTCGATAAATTCGTTGATATAAATATTAAACGACGTAAATAAAATTAGTACGATTTCAGCAAGCTTCCTGAAGCGCTTCGGAGGGAATAATTGAATAGAACAGAATTGAATCGAATTAATCGTGGCGCAACGACGACTCGAGCTGATGAACAACGGAGCGTCGTTGACGGGACCGTTTTAATATTTGCCGTAACAAAAGTCGAGAAAGATGGTGCTCTCTGTTTTGTGGCGGCTCTGCGATGTCTGGGCGACTTGGAAGCTGCGTCCTGGCAGATTGGACGCGTTCTTCCGTCGTCGCTCTCGCCGTCTCACGGTTCGCCGGTCCATTATCGTGCTGGCTGGTGCACTAGCTACACCCACGAACATCCAGCTGCACCTACCAACACCGAGCTACATCTACCTACTACCTGGCCTGGCGCGCTCATCGTCGTGAGCGTGTAGCTAGCACAAAGAGGCGCATTCTCGCGGCTAATTCAATATTCTTCGCGCGAGACGGCCCGTATGCAGTCGCAGCCGCCCTCAATTGCCCCGGCTATTGAATCACCGAGGCCCGAGGCCTCGAGAGACGTTGCATTAACCTGTTAACCGGCAAAGACGAATTAACTCGTCGCAAGCCACGCCCGGCTCTCTCCCTCTCGCTCTCTGTATATCTCACAATCGTTCTGTTTTCCCTCCGTTCACTCGATTGTTCTTGCTTTCGAATCCGAAGCTCCGGCGAATCGCATCTTGTTCTACGCTGGGATGCGTTCGAATGCATCCCTCCTCCGGGATGATAAAAATGTTCCAAGCACCAGTTTGTAACAAAGGAGAATGGAACGAAAAGGGCGTGATCCTTTGGAGTTTAAGCTGAAGCTTTTTTTAGAGGAAAAGCGAATGGCCCTTTCTGGAACGTTGTCGAATACGATTACCATTTTTGCAAGTGGTCTATGTCGAGGATGTATAACGTGAAAGGTGCCTTTTTAAATGGGTTTGCGTACCTTTTAGTGAATCGATGCTGGTCGTAGTTCTGTACAAACAAGTGCTAAGCCGCTCGTTGTACGGAGTGTCCCAAAATTATGGTACTTTCGGGAAATAGAGGGCTACCGAGGTCATTTGAAGTAACTTTTTCCTTAGCGAAAATGCAATCCGCGGCTTCGCTTACGAGTTATTAACGAAAAACGCTGACCAATGAGAGGCGAGCTCGCCCAGCGCTATGAAATCGAAAGGAAGAATAACATTTTTCCATGCAATGCTTCGCTTTCAAGAAAAACGAATTGGAAGATTATTCAGGTTCGCGTGGCTCGTAGTGTGACCAGAAGTGGAATTGGTCTGTCATGGCCAGACGCGTCAATCGATTCCTGTTCGATACCATTATTTTTCAAACTCAATTTTCTTGAAAACAGAGCTTTAAACGACAAAATATTATTCGGCATCTCTGTCTTATTTTTATATACAGAATCACCCAGTTACAGACCCACCCTGTTTTCGATATTTCACCGTCTCCTTAGTTGCTATTTCTGTGTTATTCAATGTTACCCGTACATATGTTTCAAGTTAAATTGATATGCATCGATTAGCTTCCATTCACTTTTGATATGCCATACATCGCACCGTTTTTCAATCTGGTCCGGATGTTCTTGGAGTACTGTGTACTGTGGATGCTATTTCGAAGTTTCCTCTTCCATAAATACGTGCGTAGATGTTTAAGAATATGCAGTCTAATAATTAATGATTTCATCTGATCGGATATTGAAGTAGCTTGTCCCAGAACGATCGGTAAATGACACGAAGTATTCGGAAAAAACGCGAAGCCCGAGGGTGCAATGTTTTACCCGATAACCCACTCAGGAGATCTAGAGAGACAGAAGGAGGAGATTTGGAGGGGGACGGTAGGATCATTGGACAGCAGTTCCCGGTATGAAGACACAGAGCCCGTGATGTCGATTTCAATCATCGTCCCCGAGGATCAAAGCCACGTCTCCTCGCTTTCGTCTCGCCGCAGGTGGTTGGGAAAGACGCTTCCGGTTTGGAGAACGCTGCNGGCTTCGCTTACGAGTTATTAACGAAAAACGCTGACCAATGAGAGGCGAGCTCGCCCAGCGCTATGAAATCGAAAGGAAGAATAACATTTTTCCATGCAATGCTTCGCTTTCAAGAAAAACGAATTGGAAGATTATTCAGGTTCGCGTGGCTCGTAGTGTGACCAGAAGTGGAATTGGTCTGTCATGGCCAGACGCGTCAATCGATTCCTGTTCGATACCATTATTTTTCAAACTCAATTTTCTTGAAAACAGAGCTTTAAACGACAAAATATTATTCGGCATCTCTGTCTTATTTTTATATACAGAATCACCCAGTTACAGACCCACCCTGTTTTCGATATTTCACCGTCTCCTTAGTTGCTATTTCTGTGTTATTCAATGTTACCCGTACATATGTTTCAAGTTAAATTGATATGCATCGATTAGCTTCCATTCACTTTTGATATGCCATACATCGCACCGTTTTTCAATCTGGTCCGGATGTTCTTGGAGTACTGTGTACTGTGGATGCTATTTCGAAGTTTCCTCTTCCATAAATACGTGCGTAGATGTTTAAGAATATGCAGTCTAATAATTAATGATTTCATCTGATCGGATATTGAAGTAGCTTGTCCCAGAACGATCGGTAAATGACACGAAGTATTCGGAAAAAACGCGAAGCCCGAGGGTGCAATGTTTTACCCGATAACCCACTCAGGAGATCTAGAGAGACAGAAGGAGGAGATTTGGAGGGGGACGGTAGGATCATTGGACAGCAGTTCCCGGTATGAAGACACAGAGCCCGTGATGTCGATTTCAATCATCGTCCCCGAGGATCAAAGCCACGTCTCCTCGCTTTCGTCTCGCCGCAGGTGGTTGGGAAAGACGCTTCCGGTTTGGAGAACGCTGCGCCGTTGCTCGGCCATTCAACCGTGGATCGCCAAGGGTCTATCGATCCTTTGAGACCGACCACGCGCAACACAGGGGACAAGCTGAATATATTTCCTCCCCGCTGTTCCCTCGCTACGCGACAAAAATTCCTTCGCGCCATTGAACCCTTTGACTTTACTGCCGCTTCTATGGCTGTTATCTCGACGCCGCGATGCCTGTCACTGTGTACCCGGAATAAACGATCTATGGATCGGCAGTGGCCGTTCGGGTCCCGTGGAAGTCTTGCGTTAATTCATCTCGCGAACACTGTGTTGATTTTATACTTTGATCTGCATTTATTATTATTATTATACTCATTATTATTACTATTATTATACTTATAATAATAATAATTATTATTATTACTTTGTTTTGTTACGTATTATCGATCCTATTCGGTATTTTATTCTGTATTTTATTTTGTATTTTAGTGTGTATTTTACCGTGTACTTAATTGTGTATTTCACTGTTGATTTGATAGTGCATTTCATTCTATAATTTGTACTTTATTCTGTATTTTATTCTGTACCGTATACTAAATTGCTTTAACATTGCACTCACCCTGTGATGTCTCTTGTCAAGCTTTTTCGGGCTCTCCAGTTCCGGATCCGAGTATCTATTGTCCACAGAGGTCTCACCGCCACCAGATCTCCCAAAATTCTCTGATTTTATCGACTGTCAACAGAAAGATTGACTCTTGTTCATCCCATTCGGTATCACTAAAATCGTCCCAGAGTTAAGGGTTACAACATTTTTAGATTGTCAATTCTACTAAATGTTGTAAAAAAATGTCTGCAAGCATTTCTTTCCGGTGCAAAGCAACGATTACGATGCAAGTTGCGAGCACCTAATCAAAAATAAGCTGCAATATGCAATAAACATTTCTTCTCGATTAATCTTAAATTATCAATTGTGCAAAACAAGAACTGCAATAAAGTTCCTTCATTGAAAGTTAATCAGTTCTCGCACATCCTCGACAACACAAACACCCCGAGGAGAAGTTAAAAACGATTCGGAAGTTTAGCACGCGGAGCAGCTAAATATCTGCGAGCAGGAATCACTCAAGTCCCCTTCAATATTTAATTTCCCTCGAAAGCTCGTTGAAGCGAGCGAGCCGGTAAACCGGATGCTTCGCCCGCTCGCAAGGGGAATAAGGAAGCGAGTAGTCGGAACGTCGTATCGCGTCGCCTCGCGTCGAAGGATTTCGCCGGGCGATTAGATCGTCGGAAGTTTTTCGCGTAGCGTCGACAAAAGTTCGCGACCGGTCCTACGGTCGTCGTCGCAGGATCTCGAGCAGATCGATTAGTCATTCTATCGCGATCCTGTCGAGAATAAGAAAGCTTCGAGGCGTCGTTCGAGAGCCCGATAACGATCGATGCCGTTGTTGTTCGAGTCGTCGAGGACGCTCACCCCATTTCGAGCGGTGTTCCGCCTGCGGATCGCCTCAGCGTCCTCGTTCAGTCGATTTAACGTGTCCTCCGCTGGCACCAGACTCTTTGGCACCTGCGTCTCGTTGCTGCCCAGCTGGATCTCCCTTTGTGTGCTCAGCTCCTTCTTCACAGTGGGCACGCGTTTCGTCTTAGTTCTGCTGCCCAACAATCGCTGTTTTTGCTCCTTTCTGTACTTCACTAGCTCGGCGACCTGATCATCCAACAGAAAATAGAAGCTTTTAGTTGTAATTAAACGAAGTTCGCGAGAGTAGAGATTTTTTGTATCTGTGAATTTAAGATGGTTCGAGTGGTGGTAAATACGTTTCAAGCGATTTAGAGATATAAGATTTAGAAATAGTTAATGTGCCATCGGCTGGAAAAAATCCTAGAATCGGCAGGAAAAAATCCTACGATAAATTTGACGATGCCGTTGTAAAGAGAAGACTTTAATCTTCAAATCCATGATAGTTTCAGAAAGGAAGACAATTTTTAAAGCTTCACAGAGACGTTTGAATCTATCAAGCTTCCAGAGTAGAAAAGCGTCTTCGAGAAGATAACGCGGGAAAGTGAAAAATTTAAGACAACTCGACAGAAAGAAATCGTACGATAAATTTTATGGTGCCGTTGTAAAGAAGAGTCTTTCAGCTTGAAGTTCGAGTAGTGGCAACAATTTTTGAAATTCTGTAGAGTTGTTTAAATCTGCAAAATTCGCGAAAAATGAGAAACAGCTAAGAGGAGCGAAAAGTTTGCGACAGGTCGACAGGAAAAAATCGTTCGTCAAATTTTTTCGGAATTGTTGTAAAGAGGAGAGCTCGATCTTTCTGTCCAAAAAAATTTTGGAGCTTCGCAGAGACGTTCGAAACTATCGAAACTTGCTAGTGAAAACGCATCGTTCAACCGAGCATCACAGGAGGTGTAAAATTCGCGATAAAACGTTGAAAAATATCGTAGACCGTATTTTATAGTTCCGACGTAAAGAGGAGACTTCAATCTTCAAGTTCATGGTGATTTGAATCGTGATAAAACATTTTCGAGCTCTGTAGGGAGATTTGAATTTGTAGAACTTGGGCTACAAGTGGACTGCGAGAAATAAAAATTAATTTCTTCTTTCCTTAATTTCATAAGTCTGCAACGATGCAACAGCGTACTTCAATTCTTCCAGCATCTCCACAATAGTTTATGGCATCTATTCGCTTTTGTCATAAACGCAAAAAATTCGCAGTCTAGTTAGAACACAAGTGCATGCCATTTCTGACAGACGGCACCGCGACATTGTTTGTCTAACTCGTTAAAAACCTCAAGCAAACAAGTATCCCGTAACAATTTAAAGATTACATTTCACCGATCGTTTTCGCAGAAGTATTTTGCAATCACTTTACGCATTCGCAGCACGCGTCTCCGCAAAATCCAAGAATACGCCGTTCCAACAAATCTTCCGATTGACAAAAACAATTCTGCCCCAGATCACGTTCCGCAGAATCATCCGCAAAACCAGAAATATGCATAAATATCCTCGGTCTAATAATTCCCCTCCGTACGCAAGAACTGGAATAAAATTCAACAAGAAGACGACAACAGCGTAACCAGAATACAAATGAGGGAGGCGAGAAAGATCGCAGCATAAAACGAGGCCGAGAAAGTATCCAGTACCCTCTTCGGTATCTCGTACAGCACTACTCTCCAAAATATATTACAATATCAGTGTCTCAGTTGAATATATTATTCGTCATGAACTATTCTATCTACTTATTCGAATAATTCTTCACTCGAATAAATTGAAAAATTCTTCACTCGAATAAGTCGAAAAATTCTTCATTCGAATAATTCAAAAAAGTAATATGGAAGAAATAAATCGATAAACTGTGAAAAAGTATTTTATATTCTATCATTTTTATTCAAATTATTTTCCGTATGAATCTCTGTACGAATAAAATCTTATTCGAACGAATTCTTATTCGAATAAATCTTTATGTGGATAAATTTTTATTCGATGCTATCGAATAAAATGTTGATCGTTAATTTTTATTTTTAATCCGTCATCCGAATAAAATGTTGCCCAACTCTGATTAGCGACTTCATGTGGCATCAGGCCAGCAGTCGAAAGGTTAACGACAGAGGTCCCGCAAACACGAGAAAGGGTGCCGGGAAGAACGAGAGGAGGGGGAACCCTCTCGATTCTATTTGTCAGCGGGCCCCGGGGAGAAACAGATTCTCCGGCAGTGGCGGAGGCACGCGCAAAAAATATTTAACGAAAACAGGGCGAGAAGGAACGAGGAGCGCGTGTCGGGGAAAGCTCCGTAAAATACGATTCACCCGTGACCTGGGCCAACATTCCAGCTTGCCACGCTGCACTATACCCGGCAGCGAACACTGCGCGCGAGAAACAACACCACACATAATTGAAAAATTTCATTAGCTCGCCGATCGAAATTAGGAACCGAGTCGCGCGAGAGACGTCCGTTTGCGAACGTCGAAGAAATTATGCTCTCGCGATCCCACGATTAGCCGCCGGCGAATTTTTGCTTGTCCCGATTTCACGGAGATATGCGCGCGGCACGATTGATTCGCGTAATTCGGTTTGTCTACGGACGTGCCGGGATTCTAGATGCGTAATTAAACGGCAGATGTTTGCGGGTTTGATTGAGAGAACAATTCCGTGATGGTTGCGGTTACGAATATTTTCTGGGAAAAGGGGTTGGTTTTATTTGAAAGTTCTTCATTCGGGTAGAAAACTCTTTGTTGGAGAACAACAGAAATTTGATGTAGCTGTCAGACGAGTACCATAACGAGTATTTTTATAGTTGCCGATTGTCAACAATTATAAAAACTCCTTTCCCGAATTGCCCATTTTTGTTTACCAGCTGAAGAAAAATTAGGGAGAATTTACTGTACTGCGAATTTCTAAGCTAACATTCGTTCAAAGCTCATCGTGTTTCGTTGTTAAGTCAGCCATAATGCTAAAGTACATAATGCTATTTAAAAAAGCCAATTTTTCTTGCAGCGAATTTTTTAAATTAGCGAATTAACAGCGCTGCAATCGCGTTTTCAAAATTATGCGGAACTTCGTGAAACCGAAAGTAGAGGAAACATTTCAATGAAACCGCAGAGCGAAATATAAAGCGCGATTAAATTTATTATTTTGTGGATTCCACGTCGGTGTGAACGCAATAATATAACCGAGCAGAGGAAATGAGCTTTCAGCCCGGATCCCCGTGAATTACAAGTAAATGTCATTTTTTCGTAAAAATCCGCAACCGAGATGGAACAATTTAGCTAATGCCGGTACCGACGGATTGTAACGAGTATTCCAGTTAATTAGAAAAGAGTGGGAGCTCACCTTGACGAGGGAAATAAAGCTCTCAGAACCGTCAGAGGAGACACTGGTACTTGCAAAGGTCTTTCGCGCAAGTTTAATATCGCTAGGCTGCGGATCTCTATGCGTTTATGGTACGCGCAAATTTTTCAAAACACGGGAAAAAGCGAACATTAACGAACTTAAGAGGATTTTTATCTCTTCCACTTAACGGGAGTCAGCTTCCGTTCAGCGGAAGAACATTTTCCCTCTATTAATAAGTTTTAAAAAGCGATCCGCCAGCGGATGAAACTTTTCACGATGCTATACCGTGTGATTATTTAATTTATCTAATCGTCGGAAAAAGTTTTTCCATTACGAGTAAGCAGTTAGAGATTATTGTGCATGTGTGCTAACGTTTAGTAATTATTATATGTGATGTGGGTGCGTTTGTACGAGCTGTGAGAGAGTCGCACTGTATCGATATAACGTGAACGAGTACGACAAGAAGATCCAGGGAAAGAGAAGAACGTGTGCGAGCGTTATAGAAGTAAGACGTGTTCAGAATTTGTTATTAATACAAATATATTTTCTTTTTGTTCCTTCCAAAACATACCATTCATACCTCTATTCCTTATTCCTACAAGTACAATTATAAATTCACCAGATATATGAATTATAGAATTCATTATTCATAAAATAATATATAGAATTCACTTCCTGCGAGTGAAATTATTTTAGCGTTGTTTCACGGTTTAACCGTTTGAGTCTCAAGCAGCGCAATCGCGCTGTTTAGATTTTATATCGGAAAGTCCCAGGACATTTGGAAGCTATAGATAACTGACGGTGCACTCACAGACTGTCGAAGTGGCGCGCTCGATTTTACTGGCGCACGTACATCGCATGGCTGTTTTTTTTTTTTTTGATACAACTAACATATTTTGCATTTCATTGTTATCTTCTCAATAATTTTTATCGAGCAAAGCTTGAAATATTAAGACAAGCATATTAAGACAAGCACTAGCGCGGTGTTTGACATTTTTCGATCATGATTTTCCAATGAGTCCCAGGGGACTCAAACGATTGAGGTTATACTATAGCAGCTCGTTGAATTCACCTCGACACTAGCTAAAATATCAAGTCGAAAATATGCATTAACATTTAAAACATCCATGTGGCCAGCATTTTTTATGAAAAGAAATTTTTCTTTGCAAATTTTTATATTCTAATATGTAGAAAAGCGAATACTGAGAAACTTTCATTGGAAAGAATTTTTTGCCAGATTATCGGAAATGTCTGAGAAATTTGGATTGCGAGCTGTCTGTTAAGGATTTAATAGGATTGATCTACGTTCCTGCAAAGTTAACATGTTTATGCTTCTTTGTAATCGTCAAACTGTCTACTGCAGTTTCAATGCATTATTTGCTCGTACCAGGATTGCTAATCGTTATAAATGTGGGTACAATGGCTACAATTATCGAAACGTCGAATATATTGTTCGGCTGTGCCGAAATTGTTCAGCCAGTTGCAATAACATACCAATCAGTGCATGCTGTTAACTGCAAATGACATTAACAAGTTCCGAAACAGGCTGCCACGAAATGGAGCTCCTTTTACTCTGAGCGAGTTTGAAAATAAATTAAGATGTCGCGAAAATATGTTTCGATAGAAACAGAAAATAGGCGAACGTTCACTGCTCGTTTAAATTACGATAGAATCGTGCGAAAACATCGTAGATCGATCTTTGGAAGCTCTTTAACAAAGAACGTGTTAAAAAAAATATCGAACGAAATTGTTTAAGCTTTTCACAATGATTTATGTCAGTTCGAAAGAACAACTTGCAGTTTCTTGTGACAAGAACGAAGATGTACGATTTAAACGGAAATTAAGACTTTGTTACATAAGTTTGTTTAAAAATCCGAACAATTGGACAATATTTACTTGCAACAAACGAACATATTTATCCTTTTAGGTACGGCTGAATTCTCTGCGCGAGGCTATTTCTCTGGACGGCAGATTCTGATATGTACTGTACAGAGTCTGATGCTGTATATTCCGTCTGTATATTGTTGACACTATTGTAAATCGATGCGAAGACAAAAGAAATGTGAAACAATGCATAGAAAGATGATTATTTAATTCAAACAGAGAGCGAGTGACCTACTAGAGCGAGCCACTATAGTGACGCGTCGTTCAGAGTGATGACATCCGCGAAAGTCGCTATAGTGGCGTCTCGTTCATAGAGATGATATCCGCGAAAGCCACTATAGTGGCGTGTCGTTCTGAAAGATGATATCCGCGAAAGCCACTATAGTGGCGCGTCGTGCCTAAGAGGTTAAAGATGCTGAGCGTGCCCGCAATCTTTCTAAACGTCAATATCCCAGAATATTATAGAACACACTGTCGGATGATTCAGTTCGAAATGGCACGAACTAGCTTGAATTGGTAAGGAAGGGTAAAACGCGACTCGATAGGCGAAAGAGACATTGTCTGCGGCTCTGAAATAAGGGGGCGCAATAAAAGGTTGCTCAGCGACGCGAAAACGTCGCAGCACGCGTCGAGGATACATTCCGCGAGACAGATAGTGGACCAGGAAACATTTAAACTTCCCCCTTAAGACGATACGAATGGTTTTCCAATCGCGAAACAGCTTTCGGACCTCTGTCGATGCAAAGTACTTTCCGATAGTTCCCGCGGTGCCTTCCCACCTGTATGTATATGTACCGATAAACATTAGACGACAGACGGGGGACTCTCTTCCGGCGAAACGGCTCGCGTACGGCGAACCGCCTACAAATTCTCGAGGCGTCTTTTCCCCCTCGATCGTTTCGATCCCGGTGTCAATGAACGAGCAACCGAATCACAAAGTTTTACCGATGTAAAATAGATTAGGTAGAAGTGCCGATGCCAGTCATTGTTCGGTAAAATTGTTTCCGTGACTTTCGTACGAAATAGAAACATATTTTTGAAGATACAGTAATTTCTCCCGGAATTGCCAGATTTCGCGTTGCTGTAAATTTCCCTGTCTTAGTCCTACTACGGCTATGTAATTTAGTGGTACGTCCACGCTAAGGATCGACGGAGTTGGGCAAGCGCGTGAATTCGCGACGCGGATTTCTGGAAGACAACACAAAATGGTCTGTTTGGCTGTGAGAATGGTCTCAGGTAAGAAAAAACACCGCAGAACTACCAGGTACATACGTGGTAGGTTCTAGGTACAGTGACCCTCAAAAGTGTTCGTACAACTTTGAAAACGCAATAATTATTTCAAAACTGAACTAAATAACTCGACTTTTTTTTTAGATGATAGAGATGGTTATGTCATATCAGTTTATGTTTACTGTTCTGATTGAAATGCTTTTTCTTTTAATTTTGCTATTACTTGGAATGACAAAGAAAATAAAATCTCTCGTTTTTTTAACTTTTTTATCCGAGCCTGTAACGAACAGTTATCGCTTCCTATCCTAATTTTGTAACGAAAAGGGTTCGTTCAGTTAAATATTCGAATAAATAAATAAATAGCATCCACGGTCCAATGACAATTCACTGAAATAAAAAGGGATCGTTTAAATCTAAACTAGCGTGCAAGAGTAACATAGCCTGGCAAGATATTGCACGGATAAAAATAGACCCAAGGTTGAAAGCTCGTGTAAACGAAGAAATTAAAGCCTGGAAGACGTAGAAAGGCCGCTGTCAAAGAGGATAGACGACGTTCTAGCACAACGGACAGCGAGGTAACGAATCAATCGGATGATTTTAGCCGTAGGGATTAAACGCGACATTGTCCTGGCCAGCGGCCAGCTTAATCGTAAATAGAGCAACGGGGCTAACAAAGTAAGAGATGAGCCAGGGGTAGGTCAGGGCTGGGCCGCGGTTAGGTCATGGTTCCAGCCCTTCCAGCGAGACGGTGGTCAAGGCTTGGTCAAACGTTTCCGCGGGAATCGGGTCAACGGAGCTTTCCCTCGATCTCTCACACTCTCTCTTTCTCTCTTTCTCTCTCGTTCCCTCACTCTCACTCTTTCTCTTTACCTCTCGTTCTTCGTCGCTCTCTTTTCGTGCGTGCATACCTGTTATTATCGATTCTCTCGCCCCCAGCTTTCCTGCGTTTGCCCCCACGGTCCAACGAACGTCGATCGTTCGGGAATGTTTTCGAATTGTTTCGAATTGCTCGGAGCGCGAGGAAACCTCTCTCGATTCGCTTTGAATCTCGTTCGAGAGGAATTCGAGACAATGCCGGACGCGTGATACTATGTACTAGCGTTATAGTTTGTGGATTTTACGATATTATTGGAAAGACCGATATTTGGCGATACGTTTGTTCGTTTAAAAATGCACGTTTATATCAGCCTGCGTTTAATACGAAAATTTATATTTAATCTGTATTTAAAAGTATGTTTTCTATTTGATCAAATTTGTGCTCGATATGATCGATCGTGCAGCGTCGTTGGAAAGTAGAGAGAAAAGTTGGAAAATACAGTCTGATTAATGAGCCTAAGCGATGCTTAGAAAGCAGCTTGTTAATATTTTTATATGTATTTTAGACGCGCACAGTGAGCTTTAACGCACCGGTCTTCAGCATAGTACAACTTGAATTGCTTCGACACCACACAATTTTCGAACTGCTGTAAAACGCCGACAAAAAATCCTACATCAAGTTTCGAATACTCGTTTGACAGAGCTTTCAACATCATGGAGGTTTGACGCGAGATCAAAAATTTTCGAGCTTCGCAGAGTCGTTTTAATCTACGAGACGTTTCTATCAGGCTTGCATCCGCGAAAACAATTTTGGGGATGCGAGAAGGTTGCAATAAATCGGTGAAAAAAAAAATCGTACATCGAATCTTGAAAAGAAGGCTTTGATTTTGGAGTTTGCGATGGTATCGATAGCGAAACAAATTTTCAAGCGGCGTGGAAATATTTGTATGTGTAAAACTCGCGGAAGAAAGAAAGCAATTTACAGCGGTGAAAATAATCGTACATCGGAATTTGATTAGTCATTGCAAAGAAAAAGCTTCGATGTCGAAGTACGTGGAGATATAGGATCATGAAAAAAATTTGTCGCGCTCCGTAGAGGCATTTGAATTTAAAGAACAGAAAATGTGTACTCGCTTGAATTAATTGAATATCGAACAGCAGAAGTGTCTTGGCTTTCGCATTCGTCACATGGCGTAAAAATATTTTCGAAAAAAATCAATTCAGGACTTTAAAAATACTGGATTCACGCTTTAAAATGAGCCAGCATTCATAATTCTACGATCTTTATTCAGAAAGTTATGGGAACTGGAATTCTTGATCTATTTTAATACTAACATAAGAAGAACTATGAAAACAGATATCACCGATAAACTCTTGGTCCAAGAAAAAGACCGGTTCCTGGTAAAAATAGTGTTAAATAGAAATGATTGAAAGTTGTCTTGCGACACTTTCGGCAAGGAAAGTGTTAAAATTATAAAAAAAGAAATCAACGTCGTTGGTACAATTGTTAACCAAATTAAGAGTCCTATTCGAAGGCAGGAAAGCTCGGTGGGTTCCCGTGAAAAGTCACGGATTGTTAAATGATCGTTTAAAATGACAGAAAGCCGAGAGAGACGCCTACATCAAAAGGGAAGGGTTGATCGAACAGAATGAGAAGAGGCTTCGAAGATTTGACAGGCTGTGCGAGCAAAAGGATGAAAAGGCAAGAAAAATCCACTCACCTCCTGGTCGTACTTGTCGACGATCTCGTCGGTGATAGCCTCGTTGGAGGCGACATCCTCGTCGGAATCGTTGACAGTGATCACTTCCCTGGAGTCGAAGTTGTTGGCAGCGGCGGGACCGGTCCCGTCGGCGGTCAACGCAGCTGACGGAGAGGCAGCCGTCGCCGTCGACGCGTTCGAATTCCTAGTGTCGTCCCTCGACATCGCCTCGTGCGACTCGGCGACGGCCTTCAGCTCGTCCTCGTACTCGTCCTCGGCCTCTCCTTCGTCCTCGCCTTCGTAGTCCTCCTCCTCTCGACCGCCACCTCCTTCCCCATCCTCCTCGGCCTCGGTGACCCCTTCTCCCTCGTCCTCCTGTTCATCGGCTTGCTCGTTCGCAGCTGGCTCCACTCGTTCTCGTTCGCCTAACGTCCGAGGAGGATGTCCTCGGCCGACACCGCTGTCCACGGGACTGCTGGATGTTGTGCTGTTCACCAGACAGTTTGTCGCTGCCTGCAATTCATCGCAGCCAGTGTCAATCACGGACAATCCAAGTCTTGGCGGACTGTGTTGAGCAGAGTGACCGCGAGGATGAATAATTTGGTCTAAGTTTGTTCGAGAATTTATGACTTGCCCGGAATGGCTTGAATCTTGAAATGATTATTTAGGCGATTTCGACACGCGTCTTGGAGATGAATGAGGTGTGGTCTGATGTGTGGTCTGATAATTGGGGCCACGTGTTCCTTCGAGACGAATGAATGGATTGGAGTTAGCAAGAGATTTTAATCGTGTCTGTGCTTCGAAGGTGGACCAGGTGGTCGGATTTAGGAAAAGATTGGGATTGGGAGGATTGGGGTTTATTGAAGGTTTATTGCAATTATAATTGTGTATATAACGGCTTTATCCAATTTCGATTATTCAGTTCATCCAAATGAGTGGATAGAACCGGAAGCAATGAAAAGACTAAATGAAAAAAACTAAGAATGTTGGTGCACGGATTGTGCAACTTGTTAATATCATTAAAGAAAGAAAGACAGTTATAATTCACTAATCAGTTCCGCAATCGACGCAGAACATTTTTATTTTACATAAAGATTCGTAGTCTAGTTATGAATATCCAGCTTTGCCTAATAACGTTATACAAATATTGAGAATAAACGAGAGAAACTGAAAAATATTGGAAAATATTGATAAATGTAACTGAGCTTTCCATGCACGGCAATTAGCGAAGAAATGCTCGTTAGGCGACTAGTGCCCCGGTTCGTGGGTGGGGGAATTACCTTGTACAGAGGGATGGTGGAACGTGACCATTTCTTTTATGTCAGATGGATAAGATACAGCCGTTAAATATAGTACACGCAATTCTTTCGCGGCCTTTTCTACAGAAAAATGGGCCATTGATACTATCTGGATACTGATACGGTCTTTGCATTATGCTATTTCTACCCTATACACATATAATATCCTTATATTTTAAAGCGACGAACGTACACCAGAAGCCAATTATTGTCGCTAAAATAACTAACGCGCTTCGTGCGATAACCTCTTGTTTTCTAATAATAAAGTCAGATCGGCGACGAATAATTTGAACACGATTTATTCAATACGCACAATAATGCATATTATTCGTGTAAATTCTATTTATCATTATTAATCATTGGTAGACTGCAGATATTATGCATTTATGGGTAGAATGAACGGGCGACATCTTCAACGATGAAAAGATTGATTAAACGATCGATCATCGATCGGGTCGACACACACGATTGATCAATACGTAATTTCCAACTTACTAAAATAATTGAGGACGGATATAAATTTTTATTTGGCTCCACTGTCTTGTAATGTTTACTTTGCGCGAAAGTGTACTTAATGATTGTGAAATACATTCTTAATGAATGTTCTTTCTTTCACAGGAATTGCACGACCGTCGGAGAAGTTGTAAACACTGTAACTGTAAAACAAATCCTAAAGCAACAAATAAAATGTTATGGCACCTGTTATGACCCAGACAGCTCCGGAGGAGGCCAATGAAGCGTGATAATTAACAGACAAAGATACGAAACGGTCCTCGACCCGCAGTGCATTCGAAAATGGCCGAGTTCGAACGCGTTCACGGTTCATCGACGGGTCGGAAGCGATGCCGGCAATTACACGGAATTAATTGGTGGTGTGTGCGCGTTCGCCGGCCGTAATGGCTGGGTTCGTAACTCCGGGAATTAGAATCCAGTAAAATATTCCTGCCATCGCCGACCCCTCTCGAAAAACCGCCGAGAAACTTTAATAATTTCGTCCAACTGCTCAACGTCCCATTATCCGTAAATTGCAAATTTTATGAACGTATATTTTCTGAAGTTCGCCGCTCCACTACTCTCGCGCAATGCTTACCGAAATCTGACGAGGTTACCGACGCCATTGCAACACACAGTGGGTCAGTGTCTATGTTTACCTTACTCGTTTAATTGTGAGCAACGTCTTCGGCAATTAAATCAATGACAACGAAATATTATATTCAAAATGATGAAACTTCAGCTCAGCAAGTTTGTTTGTTAGAAACTGGCTTTGTCTTGTAATTTTCTAAATTGCAGTTATCCACCTAATTGTAATCGATTATTATATACATCTGTTAGTTGAAACGATATAATGAATATTTTGTATGCTGCTTGTTGAACGTGCATTCAAGTTTATGTTTGATTTTCGAAGTCAAAGCAATCGACATAATCATTATTATATAATCACTTGTGATACAGTTTACTAGGTGAAGTATAAATAATACGGACATTGCAGGAATTAAAAAATGTTCTTATATCCTTCTTCATTTCTTAAAGACGTTCAAGGGAGAAATACATTTTTATTTAACTTTTATTTCTTACAATTGCATCACCTGCATAAAGAACTGCAGTCTGATTACATCTACATAAGTCACTAATAATATTGCTTGCAGTGTGTACAAGTTTGTACAAGTGGCTCTAATAATTTGTTCATCCGCAGGACAATTTAATGAAAACAATTCTGCAATTTTCAAGCATCAATACGCAATTTGATAAAAACAATTAAATAAAATCTAACGATTTTGCACACTGGTGCACATTATTACGGAGAATCAAATTTAACCCAACGATTACATAGTATATAGTTGGAATTAGCTTGTTTTTTCCTGGAAAGCTTATGGCCGACGTACAAAGAGGATGTTTAGGTTTAGTGAACGTTTCGCACCCCATGTGCAAAAACGCCGCTGGATAAGAAACGATTTGCTACAAATTCCGAGCACGTTCCCCCTCTGTACACTGTTACCTGTTTGGCAGAGGCACAAACATCGTTCCCTCCCTCCCCCTGTGCCGCTATCGACAGGTCGACCAAAACGGGACAAGGTTTGCGATTAGGATTCCGCGATACTCACCGGTGCGGCCGGTAACGTTGTTTCCTCCCCGCTGCTACCGGGAACTGCAAAAAACGAGAAACGGGGTTCGTTAGTGCTTGAATAGCTCGATGTTCAGAGACATTTCGTGCTCGCGAAAACGTGTCACCTCGCGAGCGACAATTAACTACCTCGCTTGCGACAACGGTTCTGGTTGCGTCTGTTGTGAAACAGTTTCGTCAGCGACAATTAGCTGCCTAGCTTGTGACGTTTTCTGGACATTGTTCGTGAAAAACGGTGTTTCAAAAGTGGCTGTTAATTAATTGAACAATGCCGTGGCTGGGAGATAAATGTAAGATAAGCGATAATTACGAATATTATTTGTGATTTCATTTTTATGTTTAAAGAGAACGTGTTTCGAGAGGGACAGTGGTTCATTTGATGGACTATAGCATTTTGATTACATGTTCATTTAATTTCTGTTCTTTAGAATTGCCCGATGAAATTTTCATTTTGCATATAAATTAGCAGCCGTATAGTCGCAATTTTGCGATTTCGTTCAACGAGTAAGAACTGTGGTTTTATAATATTATTTCTCATCGTTCATGGCAAACAAATAAATACACATTAGACGTTAATTAAACGTGTCACAATATTATTTTACATAATAATGATCTGTTTCACATTATATTATTTCACATAATATTACATAATAATAGTAACAATTTCACGAAATATTATTTTATGTAATACTGTGAACTGTTTCACGTAATATTATCTCATTTGCGGCGAGTATGTAATCTAAGACCGATGATTGCATTCTTGCAAAGAAAAGGCGTTTCTCTGTCGATAATCTCTCGTCCGGCCAACGATGCCATTCCGTTCGAGTAGATTGCGAAAAAATACAAAACAGGAATTTCACGAGTGTAAATTAATCCGTTTGCTTTGTGACATTAGTTTGCAAAAAGATCTGTGAATTTGCGGGAACATAAAATGTCAAAGGCGGCTTGTGGTGGAAAGGTGGTATCGGTAGAGCCGGTATTTGAAGGTTCTTTGAAATTTTAAATCGAATCAAAATCGTTGTTCGCTTTATTAATAGTGGGTATATTAAATATTGCTACGGTCTCGTGAAACGGGAATACGCAAACACCAATAACTTTCGTCAGAAACATTCTTCGCCGCGTCTTCCACATTTTTCGCGATATTTCCCCGGGGAGATTAAAAAGGCTGCTCGTACACACACTCCCCCCCTCTCTCTCTATCTACATATATCTCTTTTTCTATCTCTCTCCTCCATTTTATCTTCCTCTCTCGCTCTTACTCCATTCTATATTTCTCTCTCTCTCTCTCTCTCTCTCTCTCTCTCTCTCCCTACTTTCCGGCGATGGTGTGCCGTTTGGAAAGAGCTTGTTAACAAATGAGAGCAGGATGCAGCGGCGGCGAGCCTCCGCGGCGAAAGGTCCGAGTGAAAATAAATGCAGGCTAATCTAGAAACGAACCGGGGACGACAATGAAATACTGAGGACAATGCGACGTTCCGTTATGAAACCTAACTCGGTTATAGAGAATCGTAGTGCGATTTTAGTACTAGCCAGAGAAACAAGAGGAGGAAGAAGAGACAAAGGGGAGTAACAGAGGAAACGCGGTAAAAGCCGGGAATTAAACGAAAAACAATGGGAACGGAATGCATAGGGATTGGGCAGGCTGGAAGCGAAAATGCGGTTCGCGTTGAGAGCAAAATAGAGGATACTGGATGGCGGATAGAGGATAGAGGACGAAAAATGGGAACGTCGTAGAGGATGGAAAAATGGGAACGGCAGTTGTGGCTGAAGAGCAGAAGTTGGGAGGCTGGCGATTGGTAAAGCGCATAGAGTGTAGAGGATAGAAGATAGAGAAGGTTAAAAGGTATTGGAAAAAGGATAGAGAAGGATAAAAGGTATATCCCGTTACACAGGTGAAGTTCGTCGAGAATAGAGATTGTCGTGGCTAGATTATTTAGACTATACGATGGAATCGATATTCTGAAAGCCAGTGTCTTTAAAATGACAAATTAGAGGCAGATTATTGAGGCCGCATTATAGAGAATCCATTATAGACTATGAATGAGAGATGGCATAATTCTCGCAGAAGCCGAGACAGAAAGATGACAGAATCCGGGCGCGTTGAGAAACTAAATGGAGGGCATAAAACAGCGAACAAAAGTCACAGAATCGTGGATAGAAGGCGAACTACAGGAAGCTAGAGGCCCGAGTAAAAACTGCAGCTTAAAAACATTGGCATCGTATAGAAAGCTGCGAATGCAAAGAGAATAGAGGGTCGAGAGCAAAAACTGCGACAAGGTGTGAAAGAGGAAGCAGAAAGTGTAAGAGAAAGAAAGAGAGAGAGAGAGAGAGAGAGGGTGAGAGAAAGGAAAGAGAAAGAGCCAAAGTTCTTGAAAAGATGGAAAAGGAAGGATAATTGAAAAGAGAGAATTTTTCGAGCGTCGGAAAAGCGCGAGCCATCTCTTGAATGCGGAAGCAACTCATTTCCCAGACTCGCCTCGTCATCATAATTAAGTCTGGGAATATTAGAGGGCTCGGACGACACCGGCGGCTCTGTCCTTTCTCTCCTCCCCGGAGGAAATCTCGGGCCGCTCGTTCTCAATTAAATTCGAAACTCTAATTATCTGTTTGCGCTTATTTTCAGCAACCCTTTCGCCCGGCGTCCCGCAACTCTCCCTCCCACTTTTCGTTCCCGCGCTTTTTCAGGATGCACCGGAACTGCACTCGAGGGTGCAACGTAGATGCCCCTCCAGAAACGGGACCAGAACTCTCGGAATATCGCAGTCAGCCGTTTAAACGACTCGATTGCAGGCCAAGCGCCATGTTTGTTTCGCGTAATTACGACTGCGGACTACGTTTGCAGGACCTGCTGCTAAGGCGACAGCAAGAAGTTTGCACGCCCGCGATCGAGCTCGGTTAATTAAGGCTCTGCGAGACGTTCCGAATCTTCGGCGAAAAAGTATGATCGGTGACATTTTATTAGCATCATTATTAATTTTTAGCGATTAACGGGCATGCTGTCCTTTATGTATCAGGTCGTCAAGGCTTAAATAAAAGGCTCAGATGGTAAAGGCTTTACTTTCATAACGTTGCTTCCTTTGAAACAATTACTTTGGAACAATTGGACTTTTAATAGCGCTTCCTCGTTTAAAATAATTACTAAAATTTAGAGAGTATCAATTAATTTTATCGGAGTTTTAATAGCGTCTCCTCGTTTAAAATAATTGCAACTATGTATTAGTTGTTGCTTATTATTATATTATATTATTATATTATTATATTATTATATTATTATATTATTATATTATTGCACTTTATGCACCTTTTTAATGCGATAATTTTTGCGCAAGCCTTTTCGAAAGTATCATCTCGTCAGTCCAGTATCCGAAACGTTTAAACGGATATTCAACGGGCATAAAAATTGCGATACAGTTAAAGTATCAGCGGAGAGAACGAGTTGAAGTTCGGAAAAGATTTCCGGTTACCTGGCTACCCAGATTACTGGTTACCCAGCGGGAGGCTGCTGTTAGACAACGGGGAGCACACAGAGAAATTTCGATTCTGCAATTCGGAATTTCTCGACAAAATGCAGCGGGATTAATACGAACGTCCGAAGTTATCCGGCTAGAGCGTAAGATATTCGATCGCATAATAACGTAGGTGGTATACGTTGAGCCGAATTCATCGATGCTGGAATTTCGATGTCGCGGGCTTATAAATTAGAAGCGGGTCTCCCACGAGGATCCCGGCGCGGCTTGCTGCGCTCGTTGCACTCGTCGCAGTCGTTGCACTCGGTGCACTGGCTGCGATCTACTAAGAATTTTAATTCACCGTTGCGCGTCGGGACGCGCTTAAAAATTCCGCGCCGGCGACCGTTCGTGAATTCCGAGAGAGAATATGACACGCTGGGATTCCGCGAAATGCTCCTCTCTCGTCCCCCCCCCCCCCCCCCCCCCCCCCCCCCCCCCCCCCCTTTCTCACTCACTCCCTATTTCGCTATACTCGTTCTCCTCTCTCGAGTCGATTGCAATCCGACCGGAAAGTCGCCAGATTAAACTCAGGGGTAGAGAGGAAATCCTGCGAACGATTCGCAGTGGAAGAAACCTATTAACTTTGACTCTTATATCTCTCCGGTGAAATCGAATATTCTTCGCCGGCTCCTTCGTCCCGCTATCGAGAGATTTTATTGCGCGACTATTATGCGAGTCATTAGCGGTGTTAGTCGCCGAGATTTCATTAAACTAGAACTTCTGTTCCGGGTATTACACGCTCGCGACAATTAAAGACCAGGCCCGTCTCTCCCGGAATTAATCGCTGCTGAGAACAAGTCTCTCCGATTTAATGGTTTCGGGAAAATCTTCATTGGCACTTTAGATTCGATGTTTCGAACAGTTCTCCAAGTAATCGAATCGTTCTTTGATTTCTTTCGTTTTGCTCGAGACGAGCTGCTTCTGAAAGCCATTTCTGAGAAATTGTTGTCTGCTCTTAATAAGAGGTCTTGAATCTTTTTAGAAACATGTATGAAGTGTCTATTATATCACTGTGGGCAATCGGGTAGGAAAGAAAAAGGAGTCGGATTTTTGAATATTGGAAGAACTAAGCAGCGCTGAACGTTCGTTACAGTGCACGAGGGCAATGCCCTAACGAACAGCGCTGCATGGGAAACAATGGAAAATTGATAACGAATTTGATGTTGGAATTATCGAAAGGATTGTCCAGGCAACGAATACATCGCAACGATACAAACAGAAGATTGTTTAATATGTTCAGTACGGGTCATTCACCTAGGCCGCGGCGTCGAGCTCGAACAGCCGAGCTCGACTTCGCGTATAAAAAAAAGTAACGTCGCGTTAGAGTTTTTATACACCGACCGAGGTGATACCAGTAAGACGAGATGATTTACTGGCGATCTAAAATGGATCGATTTGATTTTAGACACAATCGATGGGATACGTCCCTGTGAGACAGCTTCACGTTCGGAGAGACGTTCGGCGCGTCTCATCGTCGACGGTCGAGATAAATCTCATGCTGTAATCGCGACATAA